ATATTTTTTTTTTTGCTTATAAGTAGAGCTTAAAACTTGCCGAAGAAAGTATTAAGCTAAGTTTTCAAATAATAATGTTATGACTGAAAGTTTATGTGTCCGTTTTATAAACTGAATAGTCCTTACATCAGAAAAGTGTCCAAAGAAGCCCACCACCACGGTACAGATTTGCATAAAAAGCATGCAGACTTTGTAATGATTCACCGCATTAATAAATCATGTAATGTGATCCATTATGAGAATTGGCATTACATTTGTTGTAAGAAAACATGCAGAGGATGTAATAGATCCACCCTTACATTTGAAGTACATGCCTTTTATTTTTCGGAAATCCTAACCGATTAGTTCAATCGCCTTAGAGAGTCTAAAGTAGCGTTTCCAATATATTTAAACTTTGACTGGGCAACGGAGTTCTTTGATGTCTATAGGTATCTCAAAAATCCTCCCAAAAAGTGTATTAAATAAAGTACGGTGTAGGTACCTGCGCAAATTTCACTGTCGCGGCAAACGCGATTTATTCACTACCAATGCCGCCACGAATAAATAGCGCCAGTGTGAGTGACCCTTAAAGCTCGCCTTTGAAACCCTTATCGTTATGGTGTATAACTTAAATATTGTTAATTGCATCTGAAATTGGACTGCCCCAAACAATTAAAAAAAAAATGTGATAAAAGTGCACGTTTCCATCAAATCGTTTTAGTGTCGTCGGCGCACTTATTGCTTGCATTATAAGGAATAATTGCACCGAAGACACCAGGAAACTCGCCCTTTTTTTTTTTTTTTTTTTTCTTCATAAGAGTGACAAAAAAAAAAAAAAAAACACTTAATAATGTTCAGTTTGGTGTATAATACGTAGTATGTTAGTGTAATGAATGTATTTGTACAGATATCGTTACGACCATATTGTTCTTTATTCACGACCCAAAAGTACATGTTTATGGTTTTCTTCTCTTGTCCACTACTGCCACTCGACTCCTCATTGACAGGCGGACACATCTGATACTGAATGTTTTCGATTACTAATTACATCTAACGTCACACTCTCACACTAAGATTATTATTTAATTGAACAACCTCACAAGAATAAAAGAATAATCGAGAATTGTAGATGTCCATATGTGTAGTAAACAGTGCTGTAAATTTTCATATCATTCGATTGAAGATGAACCACTACAACCATTCAATCAAGTCTGTGTAAACGAATTCTCACATGACCATAATTTGAAGAGCCCCTTTCTCATTCGAAGCTCATTGTCACTGTCAATTGAGTCACTCAGTATCATTTGATATAAGACAGTGGAGTATGGAAGAAATCCAGCAAAATGGTCCCGAACAGACAAGTCGACCCGATGTCGGATCAATGTAAGGCTAATTTAAGGTCGATGTCGACCCAATGTCGTGTTGTTGTCGGGTCAATTTTGAGTTTATGTCGGGTCAACATCGGGTTGGGGTTTGATAGAAGTCAGGTTGGTGTCGGGTTGGCTTAGCTTTTTCGCCGGAATGTCGACTAGAGCTCCGTTTGTGTGTAGGTTACACTCAATTGAATGATATATAGCGTTTCTCAAATGAGAATGATCCATGCCTTCGTCAAATGACTAAGCAACTGATATCACCCATTCGGAGGAGGTCCCGTTTGATAGCGAATAGCTACTTTTCTCATTTTCATCAAAAATGTTCAAATGATTTTGAGAATTTACAGCACTGGTAGTAAATGCTGAAGTCTGAAACGAGAACAGACATTTCAAATTATTATTTGCTCAATAATCTGTCTATGCAATCCCTATATTTCCATTTGCCTCTATCGAAACCTGCTAGCTCTAATCCGTCATCGCTATCAACACTATGCACACTAGTGAAACTTGCATCACTTTCATTGCAATTGTCTTCTTCTTCCTGCTCTTCTACTGAATCATTATCCGAGAAATATGTTTCATTGCCCTCTTCTTCGTCTTCTTCTACTACTTCACGCTCTTCTGCTGCTTCACACTCTTCTGCTACTTCACACTCTTCTACCACTTCACACTCTTCTACCACTTCACACTCTTCTACCTCCGCCTCCTCTACTTGTTGCTCTTGTTCCTGTGCCTGCTCGATGGTAGCCGATGCTTGCGATGGTGTTTGTAGAACCGTAGAACTTCCCCTACGGGAGCCGGTGATCTTTTGACCCGCACTGGATACTCGTACCGATCTAGCTTTTGTTCCTGTGTCAGGTTCCTCGGTACGCTATTCTGTACTTCAGCTTGTCTCGTATCCAGTGACATCTGGTCCAGATGTCGTTTGATTATCCGGTCGCTCTTGGATAACCTCACCAAACAGTTTCGCTTACCGAGAGTACGAGTTACTATTGCCGGCGTCCAACTTGCCTTATTCGGGTTGGTATAGTCCCGTGTGATCTCCCTCTTGAAACCGAATGTCCCTCGATCCTCTGTAGTTCCTCACTTGGGATTTGTTCCGTCCGTTCCCAGAAGGTAGGTAGCGCCCAATCCTATTTCTACGACAACACTACGAACAGCGACGCTGAATACTATGGTAGGGATTCGTACGAGGGAGAACAGCACAAACCGATCAGTATTAATTCAACCTTCAAAGTGTGTACACTAGAGCAAAGAGCAATAAATGTAGTTAAGTTAGTTTAGCAAAAGTGTTCTTTCCATCGAACCGATCATCCGAAATACAGTCCACCACCAAAGATCCGTCCATCCAAGGGAATCGTCAAGGGCACTTCCAGTGTCATCCCAAGATCGTTTTCCACGGCGATTCACTCCCGCATGTGTTATGGTTCATTGCATTGGAACATAATTTGGTCCTTCGAACCGGATCGGAATGCAGCCAAGGTTTAGCTGCCCACGAAGAGGATCGGTACCCAGTCCACGAGAGGTTTCCTGCCAGGAGAAAAGCCTAATCATCCCGAGTGAACACATCGTTGCTACACGAAACGAAACGAAACCGAGTTTCTTGCTGCTGGTGTTGTGTACACACATTTGTATGCACCGCGTAGTGAGCGGTCCGCAATCGTCCGCCGTCCAAAAGACAAAAAGTGAACGCCATTTTGCTAACTCCGAACGAATCGAAAACAAGTGTGTGCGTGTACAAGGTCATGTACAGTTGCGTCGTGTGTGCAACGTTGCCAATTTAGTGCCGAATCTCAATCCTATCGAGAGTACATCGTTGCCGAACTCATACCGAAACATTTAGTCCCGTCGCGTGTGCTACGTTGCCAGATCCATGTCAAAACGATCAGTGCGTCCCACGTGTGTGTGAAAAAGGACAACTGAAAAATAAGAACAAAAGTGAAAAAGTTACCTTGAAGGCAAACCCAAAAATGCCGGTAGAACATTCACCGTTGAAACAAGTGCAGCAAGAGGAGCAAGTACAACAATTGGATCAAGCGGAACAATCAGAAGACGTTCCAATTGTGCAACATATGGAGTTGCCGGGTCCGCCTACCGGGCAGCTTTCAAGATCCAATTCATCAGGTTCATTTCACGGATTCAATTGGGAGGAGGCTATGGATTCTGAAACGATGCGGATATTGAAGGGTCTGTTCCGGCAGAGAGGACAAATCGAGCAGAAGCTAGTGCGAATCCAGTTAACCTTGAGAGACCAGAAAAGTATGAGGTTGGCCCAGCTGCAGTGCACCAAGGAAAAACTCGTATCCATCTACACCGAGTTTAACCACTTCCATAGCGAGATCATGGCCTTGATTCCTGACGAAGCATCGGATGAGCAGGATGACATTTACTGCTCCTTCGAGAATCGTCACAGTGAGTTGTCAAATCGCGTTCAGGAATTGATCAACTTCGCTACACCACGGCAACCTGCAACTTTTTCTGTTCCCGCACCACAAGTCATCATCCAACAACAACCAATCCCTACGTTTGACGGCAATTACGCTAATTGGCCGAAATTCAAGACGATTTTCCAAGACGTGATGGCGCAGTCTGGGGACTCGGAAGCGCTGAAGTTTTACCATCTGGACAAAGCGCTGGTTGGATCCGCTGCTGGAATACTGGATGCGAAGACGATCAATGAAGGTAATTATCAGCAAGCCTGGAAGGTGCTATCCGATCGGTACGAGAATACGCGTGTGATTGTAGAATCGCACATCCGAGGATTGCTTTCGTTGAAGAAGATGTCGAAAGCAACGTTCAAGGAATTGGATAGCCTGCTGAGCGAAGCAACCGGTCACGTCGAAAGCCTTCGGTACCAGAAGCAAGAGCTGGTCGGTATTTCCGAGCACATCGTGGTGTATATCATCGTCACTGCCTTGGATGATTCGACGCGAATGGCCTGGGAAAGTACCCAACAGAGAGGAGTGCTGCCGAAGTACGAACAGACGATTTCATTCATCAAGACCAGCTGTCAAGTCCTAGAGCAGTGTGAGTCATCGCGAGTGCTAGCGCAACCAACTATCTCCAAACCCAAAGCCATATCGATTACAAGCAAGATGCCGTTGCTGAAGAGCAACACAGCCACCACGAGTTCCAGCACATCCCAAGGTCATTGCCAATTCTGTTGGCAGTGGACATTTCAACTTCCAGTGCACGGAGTTCAAACAGCTAACAGCAACTCAGAGGGCAGAGAAAGTTCGAACGACAGGTTTGTGCTTAAACTGCCTCCACAAGGGACACCAGTCCAAACAGTGTACGTCCAGCAAAACGTGTCGAAAGTGCAGCAGAAGACATCATACCCTACTACATGATGACAACGAAAGGGACAGCAGCCAGGATGTCAAAGCGAACGTCACTTCACCAAAGAATCGTGAAATCAACAAACCACCAGCTAGTGTTCAACCTCCTGCTTTGGTGGTGGATGAACCCGTGTCCACTGCATGCTCAAGCAATCACGTCCAAACATCGAAGACCGTTTTGCTGCTTACTGCAGTCGTCCAAGCCATCGATAAGCATAACCAACCGCATCCATGTTGAGTCCTGCTCGACAGTGGGTCACAAGTGAATTTCGTCACCGAAGAAATGGCAAACCGCCTTGGTTCTCCTAAGATGAAAGCCAACGTCCCGATTACTGGAATCACCGCCTTGAGAAGCCTAGCTCGTGACAAAGTGTTCGTAAAATTCCGATCGAGCTACGGAGACTTTCAAGCCAACATCGAGTGTCTGGTTACACCCAAGGTAACTGGAACTATTCCAAACAGCAGAATCGATTTCAGCACCTGGAAATTCCCTGACGGCATCCAACTCGCCGATCCACGTTTCTTCTGCCCCGAGAAGGTCGACATGCTGATCGGGGGAGAGCTTTTCTTCGACATTTTGAAGCCCGATCACCTGAGCCTAGGTGCAAATCTACCGCAACTTCGAGACACTCATCTTGGATGGGTGGTAGCCGGAGTGATAAACGAGCCGTACGTTTTGAACGCGGTTATCCAACACGCCAACTCTGCTTCGATTGATTACATCGAGGAATTGATGCACCAATTCTGGAAGATGGAGGAAGTAGCAGACGCTTCTCCATTTTCACCCGAACAGCTGTCCTGTGAAGCCCATTTCTTATCGACGTACGAGCGTGATTTGACCGGTAGGTTTGTTGTGAAGCTGCTATTCAAGGATAACGTGAACCAGTTGGATAACTGCCGCTTTCTGGCGCTCAAGCGATTCTTAATGCTCGAAAAACGTTAGAAACGCAATCCCGAACTCAAGCAACAATACGTCGGTTTCATCAAGGTACTGTGCGACAAGTAACACGGTCATGTGTGAAATGTTTCTGCACGAATCCTGATGAAACCAAACAGCTAATGGGAAATCTACCGACATCGAGAATCGTACCATCGCCTCCGTTCGCAGTGACTGGAGTGGATTATGCCGGTCCATTTCTGGTGAAACAAGGTTCACATCGTCCGAAGCTCGTGAAAGCGTATGTAGCAGTCTACGTATGCATGGCGCCGAAGGCTGTGCATTTGGAGGTCGTATCCAATCTGTCGTCGGATGCCTTCCTAGCGTCGTTGAAGAGATTCATCAGTCGAAGAGGAATGGTCCAACAAATTCATTCGGACAATGCAACTAATTTCCACGGAGCAAACCACGAACTACACGAGTTGTATCGGCAATTCCAAGATCAACAAACTGCGAAGAAGATCCAACAGTTCTGCCAAGCACGTGAGATACAGTGGCATTTCATCCCGCCGGACGCACCAGAGTTCGGTGGTCTCTGGGAAGCGGCGGTTAAGGCGACGAAAACCCACCTGAAGAGAGTCGTACGCAACGTGAAGCTGACATTCGAAGAAATGGCGACCATCTTGACGGAGATAGAGGCCATCCTAAACTCGCGTCCGTTGTACAGCGTGTCCAGCGATCCTGCAGATCCACAGGTAATTACGCCAGCTCACTATCTTATAGGTCGTCCGCTGATCGCTCCAGCCGAGCCATCCCTGGAAGATATCAACGTTAACCGACTCGATCGATGGCAACATCTTCAACTGATGCGTGAGCATTTTTGGCGAGCGTGGTCCAGGGATTACCTCAATTCTCTCCAACCACGCAAGAAGAATCTACGAACGACACCAAACCTTCGACCTAGAATGGTGGTCGTACTCCACGACAAGACTCAACCCCCGCTCAGTTGGAAGCTGGGTCGAATCACATCAGTGTATCCAGGTGATGACGGTTTAGTACGGGCCATCGATGTGTTCACCAACGGATCAACGTACCGTCGTCCTATCAACAAGGTCTCCGTACTTCCAATCGAGGACAACGTTTGCCCCTCATCGGTACCTGAAGCTGTTGATACGATGTCTCAACCGGGGGGAGAATGTTCCGTCCGTTCCCAGAAGGACTGAAGTGAGGTAGCGCCCAATCCTATTTCTACGGCAACACTACGAACAGCGACGCTGAATACTATGGTAGGGATTCGTACGAGGGAGAACAGCACAAACCGATCAGTATTAATTCAACCTTCAAAGTGTGTACACTAGAGCAAAGAGCAATAAATGTAGTTAAGTTAGTTTAGCAAAAGTGTTCTTTCCATCGAACCGATCATCCGAAATACAGTCCACCACCAAAGATCCGTCCATCCAAGGGAATCGTCAAGGGCACTTCCAGTGTCATCCCAAGATCGTTTTCCACGGCGATTCCCTCCCGCATGTGTTATGGTTCATTGCATCGGAACAGGATTCTTGCTGAACGATAATTGCCTGCCTCACTTTTTGCTCCACTGCTGATGACTTCTCTCTAGCGCGTGGTAACATCAAGTCCAATGATGTACGTAGCTCTCTACCAAGCATCATTTTAGCTGGAGAAAATCCGGTTACACAATGCGCAGCGTTACGATAACCCATCAGAAAATTAGCTACTATCTCGCGCACGTTGGATCCTCCTCCAGCTAGACACTTCAACAGTGAAGCCTTGAAAGTTTTTACAGCGTTCTCTGCTTGGTCATTCGTAGCAGGATGACCTGTATTTGTAAATGTCAGCCTAACTGAATTAGCCGCCAAAAGGTTTTGAATTTAGCCGCTGTAAATTGTGACCCATTATCGCACACGATTTCCTTCATTAGGCCAAAACGAGAAATGCACTATAGTATCTTCTCCAACACGAACTCCGTATCACATCTCCGCGTAGGAAACACTTCTATCCACTTTGAAAGCGCGTCGACAACAATCAGAAAACTGGTGCCTTGAACTGGACCAGCAAAATCCAAATGAACTCTCTCCCATACACTTTGCGGTGGGTGTCACGGTATCAGTTTGGCTTTCTCCGGTGATGGTTGGCTAGTAAGGCACTCGGAACAGTTTTTGATGTGTCTTTCCAGTTCCGCATCGATGCTTGGCCACCACACAAAACTTCTCAATACGGATTTACTCTTCACAATTCCCAAATGGGATCGATGCACTTGGCACAAAACATTTCGTCTCAGTTTCAATGGCACAACCACGCGTAAACCCCGCATCACTAGTCCGTCTTCCACCGACAATTCTCCCGCAATTTTCCTAAATGCGCCGTTCGCCATATCATTGTTTCATTTACCGGTTCTCAGCCACTCCCTAATAGCACAAAGCTCCGGATCTTTACCCGTTTCTTCCCGAAGCATATCACAATCAACAGTATTGAGAAAGTTAACATAACTATCGTCTTCCTTCCACAACTTCCAGGACTCATGTGGAAACCTTGATGCAAAATCTGCAATGTTTTCTCGGGAGCCTACGTGTTCTATCTGATAACTAAAACCTGCCAGAAAATTGGCCCAGCGTTGCATGCGACTAGCTGCTTTCTGCGCTAAGACAGCTGAAACACCTTCCATTGACGCGTCACAGATTAAAAACAATTTAGCTTTTGGATTAAAATGCGCTAATACGACATCTTTGCATATCTGATCCTTCGCCTTAGTTAAAACTTCTTGACACTCCCTTGACCAAATAAACTTAACTCCTTTCTTGAGAAGCTTGTATACTGCAATGTATATAGGGCTCATGATTTCTGCCATGTTCCCCACATATCTGGCGTAGTGATTAATCAGTCCTGCAAAAGCTCTCACTTCCTGGATGTTCTTTGGCTGTTGAGCTTCCTGAATCGCTTTGACTGTATCGTTTGTTTTCCTTAATCCATCCGAACTAATCACATGCCCCAAGTAAGTCACTTTGTCCTTGAAAAACCGGCCCTTTTGTTTATTAAGTTTCAGTCCGGCCTGCTCTAGTACCTCAAATACTCTCCCTAGATTTTCCAGATGCTCCTTATCAGAATTTCCCGTGACCAGCACATCGTCCAAAAAGTTCTGCACACCCGGTATACCGCACAGTAGTTTTTCCAGTTACCGTTGAACGATACCCGACGCAGGGTGCACACCGAAAGGAAGACGATTCATTTTATACACTCCTTTTCAGGTAGATATGGCACATGTCTCCCGAGACTCTTCATCAAGTTCAAATTGGTTGTAACACTTCGAAAGATCCAATTTACTGAATTTCTTTCCACCGTTTAGCTTGCTAAACACTTCTTCAACCGTAGGCAAAGGATGAATAACGTCTTTCACGTGACGGTTGACCGCACTCTTATAGTTCCCACTTTTGTAACGCATAATTTGTTTTATCTTCAATTGCATGAACGTTCGAAAGTCCTAAGTCGAAAGCACGAACAAAGTTTCTTCCCAGCAAGGGTGGACCTCCGTTTTCTACCACCGCGAACGTTAACGCCTTGCGAATTCCTCTGAACTCAATCACTGGTTCAATCCGAGGGGGCGACACATCTAAATCTCAATTCTAGATGCTCAAAAAATCTCGCACTAGCGAATCAATCTTCGAAAAATCATCTTTCTTTTCTCGCATCTACTTGCATCGTGCGTCATCTTTTTGCAGGAAATCTTCAAAATCGACATAAATCTTCCTTCTATCTACTCAGCGTGCGTGCAGCTAGCCACAGCAAAACACAATCTTTTCTGCAACGTAGATAGAGTCGTCCCCCTCGGTGCAATCACACCTTTCACCAGCAACTGCTCTCCACCGTAACCCGTTAATCGCAAATTTGTCGATTTCAATTCACACGCACTCATGTTCTTATTGAAATACGGCAATGAAATCACTGAGACTGCTGCTCCTGTGTCTAACTGCATTCTATAGGCTCTACTTCCAATCCTCACCTCTGTTTCCAAAGGAACCTCAAACACTTATCCCTCAATAGAAAAAAATGAACCGTCACACTTACTGATGAAGTTTTGCTCCAAGTTCACCTCATCCGTATCCCCCGAACTGTGCTCCAGTTGCTCCTGTCCTCCAACGAAGTAATTTCTCTTGGAGGTACATGCCGATTGCAGGTGGCCCCGTTTGTTGCACTTTCGACAGATGTATTCCAACACCCGTTGAATTCTTCACACCCCTGGAATGTCCTCGTTCGAAATCATGTTTTCCCCGTCCCATCTGGAAAATTCCTGCTGATTTGCTTTCTTCCGGTTCGCACTTGATTGCAATTTCGTATGCCCGTTCGAACGTCAGCTTCTCGTCTTCCTCACAGATTCTGTCGTATGCCTTTCCTTCGAGACCATCAACAAACTTGTTGAGTAAATCATGCTGCAAGTGGTCTCCCAATTTCGATACCAAGTTCTTCACTCGCACTGCCCAAGCATTCAAAGTCTCCGGGGGATCATCTCGCCTCCTGGCACGCATAAAATTTCGGCGTTCCTTATGCACCACCACAGGTGGGGTGATATGTTTCGACATAAGCTCACATAACTGCGCGTATGGTTTTTCCGCTGGCGCATTCGGTGTGCAAAGGTCCCGCAGCAGTTTGTATGTTTTAGCTTCACAATGGTTGATAAGCACCGCTTTCTTCATGTTATCCGCAATCTGATTCGCCGTAAAAAACTGCTCGAGCTGCTCCTTGTACAGCTCCCATTCTTCCGTTTCCCCATCGAAACACCGAAACCGCGATGCCTGCGCGATTCTAAAGAAATTCACGAACTTTTACTTAAATCCTCGTCGCCAATGTAATCAATGTATTTGTACAGATATCGTAACGACCATATTGTTCTTTATTCACGACCCAAAAGTACATGTTTATGGTTTTCTTATCTTGTCCACGACTGCCACTCGACTCCTCATTGACAGGCGGACACGTTTGATCATTGCTGCAAAATTTCGACAATAGACGAGTGCACGGATGGATTTGAGTTCACTCGCTCGACAAAAAGTTACACAACAGCGGGGCCCTGTTTACTAAAAATGAACACATGAATAATACTCTCGTAACATTTCAAACGGGCCTATCAACTTTTGTACACAAAACTTGTTAAGCCCTTTTCGCGCGAACCGAATACGCCCACGCAAACTAACAACACCATCGGGTAGGAGAAATTCTCCCCTTCATGATAGTTCTCTTGGTTTACGTAAGCATACTTCGGTTCTCGTGAAAAGGACCTTGCAAGTTGTTCAGAAAAATTGATAATCCATTTTCAAATGTTATGCGAGCATTATTCATGTGTTCATTTTAAGTAAGCAGAGGCGGGGCTCACTGTGTCACTTTTTGTCGAGTGAGTGAACTCAAATCCATCCCTGCACTCGTCAATACACGGTGATATTGACAATCCTGCTTTGGTCACTCATTTAGTGGACCGTACACGATTGCTTTTATTGACAATAATCATATTGTCAAAACATTATTGTAGTAGATAAAGCCTGGTACGCAGCTGAAAAGTAATGACGTTTTTACGTGCTACGGGATAGAACACGGAATGCTAAAGAAATTTCTTTTCCTTAGCATTTCTTGACCCAGTACGCAGTTCAAAAGAAATCGGTAAAGGAAAGATCGATTACATTAGTATCGTGATCGATATGAAGGTGGCGCATTCTGAATGCAATTTCATTTTCCTTGCGGAATAATGGTCTGACCAATTATTCCGTTAGGTAATTTTAACGTTTGTTGTAAAAATGATGTTTTGGATGCATTTTAACAACATAAAAATTGATAATTGTTGATTTTAAAATTAGACGACACCTACCTATGAACTCAAAATTTAGCAAAAGACACCTCCCTATAGCTGTCAAATTTACTTTTGGGAATATTCCTCAAAATTACTTTTCCGTTTTCTTTTCAGCTGCGTACCAGGCTTAAGTATAGTCGCTATATTCATAGTCTGGCGGATAGAATCTCGGGAACCAATTGAGCTGTCAAATAGCGGAACCAATTGAGCAAATCACGACTAACAACAGAAAAGAGCACATCAGCTATTGCGAACAAAACGTCGGAAACCATTTTCTCGTGACTCAAGGCTCGCCTACGCAAACTAATATCATCTTTGGGTTGTGGAAAGTTTCCCTTATCCGGTGATGCCGGTAGTTTGCGTTCGATTGGC